TGTGCTGGAGATTAAAGGAGAACAATATCAAGATGTATTCAGGTACTTATGCTACCTGTACGTACAAATGGATTTGATGGTTTTTTCAATACTTTTGCAAGGATCTTTTCTGCTTAGAGCGATCTATCTATCTATCTATCTATCTATCTATCTATCTATCTATCTATCCTTCATCTATCTATCTATCCTTCATCTATCTATCTATCCTTCATCTATCTATCTATCCTTCATCTATCTATCTATCTATCTATCTATCTATCTATCTATCTATCTATCTATCATTCATCTATCTATATTTTATCTATCTATCTATCTATCTATCTATCTATCTATCTTTCTATCCATCTATCTATCTATCTATCTATCTATCTATCTATCTATCCTTCATCTATCTATCTATCTATCTATCTATCTATCTATCTATCTATCTATCTATCATTCATCTATCTATCTTTAATCTATCTATCTATCTATCTTTCTTTCTTTCTTTCTATCTATCTATCTATCTATCTATCTATCTATCTATCTATCTATCTATCTATCTATCTTTCTATCTATCTATCTATCTATCTATCTATCTATCTATCTATCTATCTATCTATCTATCTACCTATCCATCTATCAACGTTCTATGTTTATCTGTCACGGAAATGAAAGCTCCAAAGACCCACTCCAGACAAGTATCAGTTATTGAACTGCCAATGGCATAGAGAAACCATTGAATTGCATTGAATTGCAAATCCAATCAATTCACCTTTAATCTGAGTTTTACATAATCTGTGACTAGAGTCTGTTAGTTCTTCTAACTATGCATGCTCATACGACATGACTCTGTTAAAGTGTATCTAAACCCAAAATATTAATATGTTGCAGATTTACAGTCCCTAGATATGGTGGCTGTATATATTGTCTTTTTTTTGTCAAGCTTTTCTTCTTCGTTTCCACCTTATGATCCTCTTAGTAACATATTTCCTAGGGTGACAACGCTTATTCACCCTTATTGTCTCTATGGAGGAAGCTATGGTTGTCACACTAGAACAGGAGTACAGAGACTGCCTCTTGTCTATAATAGATGGGCGTGTTCTGTAATTCTTAGAGGTGCCTGGAACAATGTGACTGATAAGGGCCGGTGCACACCTGGGCGATCTGTGACCATGCGGCAATCATGCACGATACCGTGTGGATTGCTGCGCGGTCAGGGCGTCGCCCATCACTGATGATCGCCCTGTGAGTGCCATTATTTTCTAATGGCACCCAAGTCGCACGGGGCGGATCGCGTGGTTTTTCCGCCGCTAAAACAGCCGGGCGTCATGGATCACAAAAAAAGGTACACGTACCTTTTTTCTGCGATTGCCGCAAAAGATGTACCCCATTGAAATCAATGGGGCCACGCAGCAATCGCTGTCTGCAATTGTGCACGACCGTGCGATCCCAGGACACGCGACCTGAATCGTTTAGGTCTGCACCGGGCCTGACAATGCAACATCGGCGGGGAGCACAGGGATGTATCAGAAGAGATTTCTGACTAGATCAACACATTTTGTTTGCACTCATCAAACAGATATAACAAAACGCTTTCAATGGTATATTTAGCGGACCAAAAGAGACCAAAAAAGTGAACTTCATCAGTAGGGTTTAAATATCCTTTAAGCAACCTTTCATTCTGAACTGCTGATAATGGAACCAGAACCAGAGAACTGTCTGTGTTGGCCATAGCAGCCAATGGGATGGCTCCTTTCAATCTTCAAAGGGAATATGATTGGTTGCATGGGACAGCAAATAATTATTTTTCAGACTCTTATACAAATGGATCCCTTGTTATTGAAAAAAAGGAACTAACTTTCATATCACGAAGGGCTACTATATGATCTCCTAAACCACACACCTATCATATGTCTGGGTCAGAGGCATCACGTTCCTATAAAGTGGTTTTATGCAATTTCAAAGCAGAATCACTATGTAAGAGCCCCATGTGCACATAAATGGCTACAAACTATTTAAAAATGGAATATACAGTATATGTTTTTAATATATATAAGCCCTGGTTCACATCTATGCCATGCGAAAACGCACATGCAACTGATACACGTTTTTATGCGTCTTACCGTGCTTTGCATTAGGGTAGCCCATTCATTTGAATGGAATTAGGGCCCTTTTGTGAACAGTAAATAACCTTACAAAAGAACAGCAAATAACCTTACAAATCGAGCACAGAATTTGTGGCTTTAAATATTTCATTTTCTTAATTTCAATCAGTAGCAGAGTTTTATACAATGAAGCATTTGGCATTTAAAATCGTTTTAAAACCCCTCCGCTGTGGAGTGCCCAAGCTGTGCATTCTTAGCCCTTGTCCAAAAGAACTGTATTGGCCACAACAACCCCATCAAGGGATATTTATTGAGCTGAATAGTATTAAAAATGTTTACATTACAAATATGTCCTTCAAAATGTTATCTTACAAATATGAACAGTAAGGAACTGATGTATGAATGTTCTCCCCGCCGTATGGCTGGGCAAATGCCGTTTGCACAGCCTTCCTGCCACTAGATGGAGCGGAGGAACGTAGGAATTCCCTGTGCTCTTTGGCTCCATCTAGTGGTGGGCATATATAACAGATCAATAATTTTTTAGCCTGCTTATCATTATAAAAAGAAAAAAATTCCAGGGACAAACTCAGTACCTGGAACCTGCCAATTGGTGATGTATACTAAGGAATATCTTCATAAGTAGCCAAAAATATTTATAATAACATAAAAAAAAACAGGTTGCCTTTAAGATGTATCTACAGCTACAACTTTTTTGGTAGTTTTGGATAGAGTTGGGAAGGGTTAAGCTGGTCATACACTGTAGAGTCTATTTATATATTTTCAGTCCAGCCATACTCCGGGCAAATGCTGTTCGCACTGCATTTCCATCCAGTGGCGTCACCAGGGGAGTGCGGCACCGGGTGACACCATCAGAGGAGGTGACAGTCATTGTAATGTCACCCCCTTCTGAAAAGTCCGGCACTCGGTCATGGACGGAGAGCCCAACAGTTGCACGAGGGGATCTGGCGGCATACCTTATCCCACCAAATGAATGTCCCCTCAGCTCTTTGCCGGCATCCATCACTAAGATGGCCACCGGCAGGTAAGCACATGTGATGTCATTATGCACTTGCATGATGACGTCACACGCGTGTGCAATGACGTCCCGGAGAGGTGTCACCCGGTAGCCGCTCTGGGTGACACCACGCCTGGGAAAGCCCCCGGCTACATCTAGAGGGGGGAATGTCATCCAAGTAGCATTTGCAAAGCGTATGACTGGACAGAAGACTTATAAATTGGCCCATGTGTGTTTTTTCTCATTGAGCCCGGAGCTAAACAAGTCAAACACTTGATTCCCTCATCCACGCTCAACAGCCTGGACGAGGAATCCGATCCAAGGGGGCTATTGTATGCTAACAGGGGCAGGTGTGCCACTGTCAGAATACCCGAACAGTGACTGCCGCCGTAGTCACCGTGTGTCCGAGAAACTTCAAATTGACCACTTCGACAAAGGTCAATTAAAACGTTGAACACAGGGGTGCTGGCAGGGCCACACACTGTGCAAATTTAGATATTCAAGCAGTGTATGGCCAGCTATAGAACCCTGTTGTGTTTTACTGCTATCTAGGACTCCGTTAGAGAGATTTTCTCTCACTTCCTGTTTTGCTGGCAATGATTTCACCAAACAGGAAGTAAGAAAACCTCTGCAACATACACTTAAAGTGTATTTACACATTTGCAGTCAAATTTGGGAACCTCCCGCAGTATATCTTAAGTATAATATTTCTTACCTTTATAGCTGTTTTTTCGGAGCAGGATTATACACAGGACCCTATAGGCAGCTTCTACTGGTTAGAAAAATGGAAATGTGCAGATAAGGGACTGACTGAGGGACAGTTTTAAAAAGGGAATTAACATACAGCTTAAGGTCTTTAACCCTTTGTTAGGACAGACAGCTGGGCTCATCTAGTTTACAAATGATAATGAAATCTGTCAGCACAGTACAGACAGGGTTAATTATTTGAAACGAAATTCCCCCAACCCACGCGGACGAGAACTACGCAGACATTTTCTTCTAGGAGTTTGCAAAAAGAGCATCTAAAACTTATTATTATTATTTTTTTCCACTATGCTATACGATTGGAAACATGTAACAAATATACATTAAGCAGTTTCCAAATTTGGCTGCAAAAGCGGAAATACACTTGAAATATCTCTCTTACTGGATTCACAACAGATGCATGCGTGCATTAACATGGGCGATCCCGCTGCCCTGTGATGCATTTTTAGACATGACGTATGAGATCTCATTCCAATGCCCTGAATGGAATAATGCAGGCCAACACATCAACAATGCTACAAAGCTCCCCCCCAAATGCAACATAATGCAATGTGGTGGTGTGAATGCATATGATTGCATTCTCCCTGTGTTGGGAAATGCCACCAAAGTGCAAACAATGGAGCCTTGACACCACTGCATGCTTTCAAACTAAACAATTACATTTTTCTTTATTTTTAAGAAGGGCTTTAAATAAAATTCCTGGACAAACCTGGGACATGTATTATGTATATGCATCTAGTGCCTATTGTACATCAGCTAGGGGACCTGCCAAATTAATATCAGTGAATGACAGCTCAGCTTCGGGAGGTGCTCAGCAGCAACACATACAAATTAGCAACTTAATTTTCTATAGGTTAATTAGTCTCAGTCAACCCAACATGTTTCTGATGCTGACAGCAAGCTATCTAGGCTGATCTGCTCTACACTGAGACAATACTGCTTGCATACAACAAAGCGGCCACCTTGCTAATGATAAAGCACCCAAATACATCATCAGTGAAAGATACAGTTGAGCGTTGCCATTGTCTCACCTTAAACCCTGGTTGCCTCTAATTGAAAGAGGCATTCCATCTCCATGGCAACCAGAACTTTGCATACCCCATGCCCAGGTGTCTACAAGGATCTTCCATGAGTTAGGTATCAATATAGGACTCCCTTTGGGTTTGAGTGTTCCTGCAAGGCAGATGAGCCCTAAAAGACATCCTGAGCTCTTTGTTCAACATGAAGGACACAATGGGGTTCAGACCTGCCTGAGCAAACGTCAGCCACACTGCAACTGTAAGGAAATCCTGAGGCAAGGATGCACTTTTCAAAAAGACCCTCAGGTAGCAAGCCACCAGGTAGGGGCCCCAAAAGAGGAGGAACAGAAAGGTGATGACATAGAACATCTTGCAGAGCCTCTTCTCCTGCTTGAATTCCTCCAGCACCAGCAGCCTTTTGATCTGATGTTGGGTGCTCTGTCTCATGCCCACCAAGGTGGGCGGCGTGGGTCCCCTTCCAAAGCCAGCAATCCAATTGGCAGCTGCTTGCCCAGCCGCCCCTGGCCCATGGAAGCTCCAGTTTTGGCTGATGGCTGGGGTCAGCTGCGCTGGCTTCATTTTCCTGTGGTCGTAAATGAAGAACAAAAGCTTCATGTAGATAAAATGGGTGGCAGCCACGATAAAGGCCAGCATCAGCAGAAAGCCAAGGCTGTCGTTGGCTTTGACATAGCGGTGCTCAAAGGTGCACTGGTCCTCCTCTCTGATGAACTTGTAGGTGCCCACCTCGAAGACAGGGGGCAAGGCCATGGCCATGGACAGGATCCAGGCCATGGAAATGACCAGGGCACATGCCCAGCCGTTCATCTTCTTGCAGTAGAACCTGTGGTGGGCTATGGCCATGTACCTGGTCAGGCTGATGGACAGCAGCATAAAGGCGGCGTGGAAGCAGAGGAGCACGGTGCCAAATGCCATGACCCTGCAGCTCCTCTTGCTGTAGGTCCAATGGGAGCCGCTGCTGATGGATTTCAGCACCAGAGGGAAACAAAGCAAGGAGCGCATGAAATCGCCCAGGCACAGATCCAGCAGTAGGTAATAGGGGGCTCGGTGCAGGCTCCGGTCTCGGAGGGCGATGAAAGCAAACAGGAGGTTGCCCAGCAGGCTCACGCAGGCGATCATGCCCAGGGATGCCAGCTTGGTGAGGTCGGCGGGCAGAAGGGATGCGTTGCTTTTCTCCAGCTCCTGGCCAGCCATGGAGACAACAGCTGCTGCTGAAGCAGGATTCCCCTCCGACTCATGTGCAGATCAAGAATCTGATCAGACAGCTCCGGCAATGTAATATATGCAAGGTGAAGGCACAGCAAGTTGCGAGCTAGATACACACAGGGACCACGTCTGAATGCAGAGCTGCTATGACTTCCATGGCTGCTGTATGGAGATCTGCAGTCTGTGTGATGAAGCCAATCTACAGGAGCTGGGCATACAGCAGGTACATAGATGACATCGCAGTGATACGCTGTTGGTTCAGGCTAGGAGGGCTGATAGGATCATGCATGGTCGGTCAATTTAGGGATTGCTGTGTACCAACCAGATCACATCATCTCTCCTGCTGATAGGATCATGTATGGTCGGTCTATGCAGGGATTGCTGTGTAACAACCAGATCACATCATCTCTTCTGCTGATAGGATCATGTATGGTCGGTCTATGCAGGGATTGCTGTGTAACAACCAGATCACATCATCTCTCCTGCTGATAGGATCATGTATGGTCAATCTATGCAGGGATTGATGTATAACACAACCAGATCACATCATCTCTTCTACTGATAGGATCATGTATGGTTGGTCTATGCAGGGATTGCTGTGTAACACAACCAGATCACATCATCTCTACTTGAGGTATTCCTCCATAAATTATACTGTGGCAGTAATTGATCTAGAGATGATAAGGCTAAAGTGGGTTTGGTACTGAGAAGATGTTGTGAAACAAATAGTTAGGGGCCTTATTCACACCGGATCCATTGTGTTGCAATCTGTTCCATTGCGATCCGTTCCGTTGCACTGCACTCACTTACATTGGGATCCATTGCATTATGATCCGTTGCGTTCCATTACATTGCGGCCCATGGCATTGCGGTCCATGGCATTGCGGTCCGTTGCATTGCGCTCCCTTGCATTGCGATCCATTGCATTGTGCTTCCTTGCATTGCGATCCTTTGTGATCTGTTGCATTGTGATACATTTTTCTTTTACATAAATTAAAAGTAACAAGAGCAAACAAAAACAGAAGGAAGTACATTCCCTGTTATAAGATCATCAAACAGAAAGGGAAGCATCCAAATGCAGTACAATTAAGATCGGTGAGATGTAACGGCTATCAAGAGAAGGGCTTCCCATGGGTCGCGTGCTAAGCCGCATCGTAAAATGGACCAAAGAAGGTTATACACTCGTATCCACAACCTGTGCACCTTGGGGCAAGCCCACCAGATGTGATACATAGTACCTCAGGAGGTACACCCCTGCAAACAATTGGGAAAGAATGGGCTATCCTGTCCAGTGTCATATACCATCTCATTAGCACCATGTAAGAGTTCTCCAACGCTATCACATTAAATTAACTTTTAGCCGTCCGAGCCCAAATAACTACACATTCAGCTCGTTCAAGGCGTTCCCTGAGTCCAGCTTCCCATTTAGACATGTACAGTAAATTGTCTGACAAACGCGATGCATTAAGACCCCGGTACACCAGCAAGATTAGGCCAACACCCTGCAGGTCCTGTAGACATCTACACTCAATTTCCGTAAGCTATAGAAGTGTGTGATACATTTTTCAACAGATGCTAACAGAAGGGTACCGAAAAATAAATGGATGTGAATAGGGCTAGCTTACACTGCTCCATTCTGTTGCGTTACGTTGCACAAAAAAAAAGTAGAACTTTTCTTCAACACAACGTAACACAACGGATCCGGAGTGAAGAAGCCCCATTCACACCCGTTCATTTTCGGTGCGCTTCCAATAACATCCATTGAAAAACGGAACCCAACGTACCGGAAGGAGATCGGAAGCTACAATTGCCAGTCAACGGACCCGCCATGGCAACCAGAACTTTGCATATCCCATGATAAATAATGATAAAGCACCCAAATACATCAGTGGAAGATACAGTTGAGCGTTGCCATTGTCTCACCTAAACCCTGGTTGCCTCTATTTGAGGCATTCCATCTCCATGGCAACCAGAACTTTGCATACCCCATGCCCAGGTGTCTACAAGGATCTTCCATGAGTTAGGTATCAATATAGGGCTCCCTTTGGGTTTGAGTGTTCCTGCAAGGCAGATGAGCCCCCCAAAAAAGACATCCTGAGCTCTTTGTTCAACATGAAGGACACAATGGGGTTCAGACCTGCCTGAGCAAACGTCAGCCACACTGCAACTGTAAGGAAATCCTGAGGCAAGGATGCACTTTTCAAAAAGACCCTCAGGTAGCAAGCCACCAGGTAGGGGCCCCAAAAGAGGAGGAACAGAAATGTGATGACATAGAACATCTTGCAGAGCCTCTTCTCCGGCTTGAATTCCTCCAGCAGCCTTTTGGTCTGATGTTGGGTGCTCTGTATTATTCCCACCAAGGTGGGTAGTGTGGGTCCTCTTCCAAAGCCAGCAATCCAGTTGGCAGCTGCTTGCCCAGCCGCCCCTGGCCCGTGGAAGCTCCTGTTTTGGCTGATTGCGATTTCCTTCCGAAAAAATTACTGGCATTCTGATTTTAAAGTGTATTAGATGGATAGAGGAGAAAAAGGATAGAACCTCTGTCAGGTCTTTAGTTCTGCCTGTAGGTAATCAAGTCAGAAGAGAAAACCAAATGTCTCAGAAGACCAAAATTGTATTTTATTGATCCACGTATATCACAAAGACAACAGAAAGCAACCAACACATTTTGTTTCATCACAGCTGCCTAACTTGGCTGACTCCAAGCTGTCATCTTCAATACCTCTGGCTCTGATTTAATGACCCAGGATTAGAGTCCACGTTCTTTGAGACTGTTGTCAAAGCCCTGGTGAAGGGCTCCCGAACAATGTTGAACATGGTTGGACATATGTCCCTAACTACTGGATGTGAGGAGTGAGGGTACATGTGGATGCATGCTTACAGTCCGGGCTCCTTTCAGCCTGTTATCCCGGCCACAGGTATCCGTAGTATACTTGCTGCACCATGGCTCATAAGGATGTGTGATAAGGCCTATACCCTTCACCGTTACAGCAAGCAAGCTCCAAGTCTAACCTATAACCCTAATACTTTGGTCATTTTCAGTCTGAAGAACACTGCATTAGGCACACAGGGTTAATTTCAGTGCTGGCCAGGATGACCAGAAGCAATAAATCTACAATGCTAAAACAGCTAAACAAATTCTCCTTACTGCACTGCCTGCAGAGGGGGGCCGGTGAATTCTGAAGCTTCCTCCTACATGTCTGACTTCAGCTCTTCTGGATTGCAAATGTCCCACAGGGTACACTGTCAGTGTCAGCAGCAACCCCTGCAATCCTTAATAATACGTGTCATCATCTCATGCAGACAGATTTTCTCTGTTTACATTTCCTACCCCCCCTACTCAGATGCCCCCTCAGGGACCCTGCACTGCCCCCTATTCCACCAATGGGGGGGTCCAGAACCAGATCTCACTGGTCCCCCCCAGCCCCCATAGCAGCTGTGTGGACTACTATGGCTATTGTTATGCCGCTGGGACGTAGAACTTTGCACATAGACATTACAGCTACCAACTGTGTGTGTTTCTGTACACCCAATCTGCAAATATATCTAAAATTCTACCCAAAACTTGCTTTCACTGTTCCCCTAATACAAGGGTCTGCCATGTAACCAGAGGGCTCTCATATTAAGTGAGACCACCATTTGACAAGACAGTTGATATATTATAAGATGCTGTGATGTCATAGTCTACTGCCATGTTACAGGTTACAGTAAATTGTTAGAAAATGCTTCCAAGTTACAAGTGACAATTACAAGTGACAATTACAAGTGACAATTACAAGTGACAGTTCCATGATGCGGCAGCCTCCATTCACACTTGATTGTTTTTTTAGGTGATGTTTTTGTGCACGTTTTTGAATCGATTTCAGATGTTTTCAAGCTTCGGGTGTTTTGGTTTTGGCCAATGGAGAGCAGTATCATCTGTCTGCCCGTCGTTCTCCAGCATGGATACGTCTAATTCCTCCATTCTGTTCTCAGGTTGCTAAGAGGAGGAGACTGGTCGTTAGGCACAAAAACACACTAAACCACTTGTGTCATGCGCTTTCAGGCGCTCCCATTGAAGTCTATGGGACCAAATCATGCCATTCTGGGCAAAAAAAAAAAAAGCATGACAAGCGGCAGCACAACACTCAGGTGTGCACCGCCGCCATTAAATATAATGGGATTCTTCATGTTGAGTGTTGCTGCACTTCAGGAAATGCACAACAAAACGCTGAGGAGTGAATTGGGTGGATGAGAACCTGTGAAAAATGACAGGAGCCCGCCACTGTTATTTAATATGAGCACAAGGTAAAGGAGCCCATACACTGCACAATTATCATACGATAATCGTGGAAAATCCTGCGATCGTACGATAATCGTGCAGTGTATGGAAGGCATTTTTTTAATATAATATAAAAGATGAGGTTACAACAAGTTAATAGACACCCAACATGCACAGGTCAGTGTCACCTTTCTACTCCAAAGAAGCTGTTGGGAGCACAGATCGCAGTCCAATAGCTCCTTGCCTGGCTTGTGCTTGTGCAGTTGAGCAATGACAGCAGAGGGACCGGAAGTGATGCAATCAGCGTCACTTTCGGTCCCATTCAGCGGGGAGGAGATCGGCAAATGGCACACACAACCACATAGGTTGAACTCGATGGATCTGTGTGCAGGCATCTCAACTCTCACGGATGTCCCTGGAGTCTCCCGCTATTGGATAGCGGCTCTCGAACACCTGGGTGAAAAACATCTATCTAGCAGAGTAAATCTTTCCCTGCTGTTTTGTTTTTTTCTGACATCGGGGCCGCTGGCCGCCGTCAGTCAGAAAAAAAAAAAAACAGCATATGAATGAATAGCTAGATTGCTATTGGCTATTTCAATTTGCAATATCCAATAGCAGACTAGCTATTGCACCCGCCCACTGCTGCACTCAATCAGCAGTGGTGGACCTGAAGTTCTCCATCAGGTCCTCCTCTGCTGACTGACAGCAGCAGTGGGCAGGTGCAATAGCCAGCTTGCTATTGGCTATTGCAAATTGAAATAGCCAATAGAAGCCTAGCTATTCATTCCTAT